GTGCAAGGCCTCAGGTGTAGTCTGTAGGGTCGGCGGGCTTACAAAGGGGCTTGCGCACCAGTCTCGTGGCATGTCTCGTTCTCGTTTGCGTCCTCAACGACCGAGGAATAGCACAGCTTGAGCTTCACCATTCCTAGAAAGCCAAGAAAATTACCCTTTCATTTCGACGATGTGCGAAGAAATCTTCAAAACCATTTTGTAGGCTCGAGGATGCTCGGATCATGGAATAGGGGATGTGACTTCAGGCTGAAGGGCCTCCGGATCGTGGGAATGAAGGCGCGGGCTTCTTGAGTAAGAGTTACGTACATACACTCTCTTTCACAAAACATGTTACACTCAATATATGTATATATATATAAACACCTATAGTCGAAAATGTGTATATATATATATATGGTACCCCCCCCCCCAAAGATCTAGGTATTTTCCTGGTTTTGGGATCTGTTTTAGGGTTTTAGGGTTGGGGGTGGGGGGCTAGCTAAACATGGAAATCTCAATATGGACATGTAAATCTTGATATGTGCGAGTCTTCATATGTGCGTGGTCGTATTTTCAAATTGTGAGCCCGATTGAAAACGATTGAAACGATTGAAATTCAATCGGGGGCCCGATTGAAAAACGATTGAAACGATTGAAATTCAATCGGAGACCGGATTGAAGATTGAAGATTGAAGATTGAAGATTCCCGGAAAGCTTTTTTCTGGGAATCTTCAATCTTCAATCCGGCCCCCGATTGAATTTCAATCGTTTCAATCGTTTTTCAATCGGGCCCCCGATTGAATTTCAATCGTTTCAATCGTTTTTCAATCGGGTTCACGTCTTGTAAAGTGTCAGAATTAGCTTTCGTGGCGTCGCTCAAGATCACGTCTTCGCAGACATTCCACTCGAAATATACTTGACCATTTGTGTTTGTAATACTCGCAATGGCTCGCATCCCAGTGGCTGGCTCAGTCTTATGGTTTTTATTGGTTTTTGCGGTGTTTCGGGAGCGTGGGTCCCACGCTAAAAATCGGTTTTACCGATGTTTTTGAAAGCCTACCTTCAAAATAACATCGGTAAAACCAATGTTTTGAAAGCCTACCTTCAAAAAACATAGGTAAAACCAATGTTATTGAAGGCCTACCTCTAAAAAACATCAGTAAAACCGATGTTTCGTGAGCCCATGCTCCCAAAACATCGCAAAAAAAACAATAAAAAAAAAAAAAAACATGTCAAAAACCATGATTTTCGAAACTAGTGGCTGGGGTGGCCGGCCGAGTAGTTTCAGAAACCATAGTTTTTATGTTTCTTATTGGTTTTTGCGGTGTTTCGGGATCGTGGGCTAAACCTTTAAGCCCTGTAGGCTATACGGTTAAGGTTTAAAGGTTTAGGGTTGAAAAGTTCAACAGTCAGCCCATAGAGTTTAAACCTTAAGGGTCCTAAACGCTTAACCTTTAAACCCTATAGGCCATAGGGTTAAGGTTGAAAGGCTTAGGGTTTAAGATTTTGGCATTAAAACACAAGCCCATAGAGCTTAAGCCTTAAGGGTTTAAGGTTTCAGCATTGAAACGATAACCCTAAGCCCTTTAGGGTCAGAACCTTGAAGCCCTGTAGGGCTCTAAAACGTTAACAGGGTTTAACCCTATAGGCGTTGAATGTATAAATGCCCAGACATTACGCTCTCTTTAACCTTTCAGCCCTATAGGGTCTAAAGGCTTAGGGTATTTCTTAAGCCCTGAGGGTTTAAAACCTTAAGCCCTCAAGGTGGGCTTGGGTTTAAATGCCTAAATCTTGAATCCTAAACCTTTAAACCTTAACCCTATAGCCTATAGGGTTTAAAGGTTAAGCGTTTAGGCCCCTTAGGGTCTGAACTCTATAGGCTTACTTTTAAAACCTAAACCCTTAAACCTTGACCCTATAGCCTATAGGGTCTAAAGGTTAAGCGTTTAGGCCCCTTAAGGTTAAGGGTCCTAAACGCTTAACCTTTAAACCCTATAGGCCATAGGGTTAAGGTTGAAAGGCTTAGGGTTTAAGATTTTGGCATTAAAACACAAGCCCATAGAGCTTAAACCTTAAGGGGGGTCCAAAGGCTTAGGGTATTTCTTAAGCCCTGAGGGTTTAAAACCTTAAACCCTTAAGGTGGGCTTGGGTTTAAATGCCTAAATCTTGAATCCTAAACCTTTAAACCTTAACCCTATAGCCTATAGGGTTTAAAGGTTAAGCGTTTAGGCCCCTTAGGGTCTGAACTCTATAGGCTTACTTTTAAAACCTAAACCCTTAAACCTTGACCCTATAGCCTATAGGGTCTAAAGGTTAAGCGTTTAGGCCCCTTAAGGTTAAGGGTCCTAAACGCTTAACCTTTAAACCCTATAGGCCATAGGGTTAAGGTTGAAAGGCTTAGGGTTTAAGATTTTGGCATTAAAACACAAGCCCATAGAGCTTAAACCTTAAGGGGGGTCCAAAGGCTTAGGGTATTTCTTAAGCCCTGAGGGTTTAAAACCCTAAACCCTTAAGGTGGGCTTGGGTTTAAATGCCTAAATCTTGAATCCTAAACCTTTAAACCTTAACCCTATAGCCTATAGGGTTTAAAGGTTAAGCGTTTAGGCCCCTTAGGGTCTGAACTCTATAGACTTACTTTTAAAACCAAAACCCTTCAACCTTGACCCTATAGCCTATAGGGTCTAAAGGTTAAGCGTTTAGGCCCCTTAAGGCTTTAACTCTATGGGCCTGCTATTGAACTTAAACCCTAAACCATTAAACCTTAGCCCTATAGCCTATAGGGCTTAAAGGTTAAGTGTTTAGGCCCTGTACGCTAAGATTTACACTCGATGGGCTTAGGTTTAAATGCCTAAATCTTAAGGCCTAAACCTTTTAAGCCTTAACCCAAAAGGGTTTTACGGTTAAGGGTTCAGGTTTAAATGGCGGTTAAATCTTCAACTTCACATCGCCTCCGGGCCCATGCAAGTATTCAACTTGATATCGCTAAATCATGAAAATACCTAGATCTTTGGGGGGGGGGTAGCATATATATATATATTGCAAAACAGTACTTTTGTAAGCAGAGTACGAACAATTTCAAGTCTGACAACCCTCGCTGAAGAGGAGCTTCAAGCTTTAATTGGGGGTTTGGGGAACGTTTAGCATTCAGGGCTTAGGGTTTAGGGTAAGCCCGCAAAACCCTGAACCCTCGACCGCGACCTTTACAGGGTTCGGGTCAACAGCACACTCAGGTCCCCACGGCCATCGCGCACCTAGGAGAGGGAGCGGCAGTAGACGATGTTGGAGGTTTGGTTCTGAACAGGGAATTTGGGATCTGAGGTCCCTTTCTGACCCCTTGATTCAGATCATAAAGAGGGATATGAAGCAGAGTGCTTTATAACTCGCATCCCCATATGCACTCACGAGTAGCAGCAACCCATAAGAATTCAAGTAACATAGACCCTGCATCATGTAACAGCACTTTTGTGCAGAACTTAGGGTTGAATGTGCAGGGATGTCGAGGGGTGCAGGGCTGCAGGACCTTCAGAGCCTGAGAGGGCAAATTGTGGGCTGAAGGCTGCTTCGTACTGCGCAAGGTGCTGGGAGTCGACTTGAGGTTCAGGGTGCGGGGGTTCAGGGCCTTAGAGGGGCTTAGATGCTTTAGGGGTGTAAGGGCTTAGGGCTTCTACAGTAAAGTTTACAGTGCACTGGGCTTGTCTTCCCAGCGGCAATCCGGTGATCACCCCGCAGCTGAGAAAGAAGCCGGAGGACGTGGCTCCTGGTAGAGCTTGCAGCTTAGGAATTCGGCCCGCCTTGTGGACTTGTGACTTAATTACGACTTACGAGGCTTCAGGGAGTGGGTTTGGGGTGTGGGGGTATGGTGTCTCGCTAAACCCAAACACCCCAGCTAGCCTCTGCAGGGTTTTGGAGGGCAGAGGGTTGGGGTTGAAGTGAGAGCCAAACACGACATCCCCAGATTCCGAAAACACGCCCGAAACTCGAAAGCCGAAGCCCTAAACTCAACACCCTACACACCCCCCCAAAACCCTAAACCCTTAGACCCAGGAATTCCGAAAACCTGGAACCTTGGATCCCAAACCCTCGCTAGGCTAAGTGTTGAACCGCAGCTTCGGGTTTAGGGTTTAGGGTTTAGGGTTTAGGGTTTAGGGTTTAGGGTTTAGGGTTTAGGGTTTAGGGCTTGGGGTTTGGGGTTTAGGGCTTGGGGTTTGGGGTTTCGGGTTTGGGGTTTCGGGTCCTCTTCAGGGTGAAGCTAACGAGGCAACAACGAACTAAACGGTCCTTGGTGCAGGGAGAGCGCAAAGTCTAGGGAGATGGGCACCTGCATCGACCTCAGCGCAGGGCATCTCAGCCAGCAGTGAGGGGGCCCAGGGTTCCATCTGAACAAAACCCTAAACCCTATAAACCCCAAACCCGCATCAGGGAACCCTAAACCCTCAACATAAAGGAAACCCCAAAACCCCCAAAGAAACGAGGATCCGAAAAACCGAGCAGGTGGGTGCCTCTGTGATGCCTAGCTGTCAAGGCTTTGTAGGGCAACAGAAGGTTGACCTTTGGGGTTTCCGCAGAGGGCGTTTGGGCTGGAGGAGGGGCTTCGGTTGCAAGTTCGGGGTTTTCAGGCCATTGCGTCGTTGGCAGAATCTCCCCTATGATCCCAACACCGAGAACCGGAAGTGCCTCAACAGCCGCCCTCAACCCCTACACCCTGAGACAGCAAACCCCTCAAAACCCTCAACCCACAGGGTTTAGGGCTCAGGGCCCCTAAACCTTAACTGAACTCTCATACCCTTGGGCTGGTGGCATGGCCACGAAGGGTGCGGCATTTGTCCACAAGCCTCAGGAACCAGTCTGCCTAGGGTTCCCGTACATCAAGAGTCTACAGCCTAGTAGCCATGTTAGCATTCCACCCAACTCTGCCGACCTCAAGTGGCAATTTACGCCTTTGGGATGGCGGGTTTGAAGGCCATCTTTGACTCCACTCCCACTGAACTCAGAACGTTTACGTATGCGCATCTGCATGTCGGCAAGGATTGTACAAATAAAACGATGGGTCTCTGGGAGCAATATGTATGCACGCATATACATGCGCAGCCAATATCAAGGCAACCTCCCCAAAACTGTGCTGAACCACATCTCGGTCATGTCCTGTGCTACGGTATCAAAATAACAGAGCACGGGCGTGCAGCCGTCTAAGCAGAATTAACTACACTTGGGACCAACTGTAGCCACTAATCGGTTGACGAATTCGTCCCCAAGCTGTTTGGGATATGCATGTGTCTGTGAATAGGCGAGTATATGCATCTATAAAAACATACGCACATACTGTCTGAAGCGCAAGAAGCCTTACTCTTGTCAACCCCCGCACCCTGAGGAATTCCAAAACCCCAGAAGAAAAAAACTTACAAAGTTCCGGGCGAGCTTCCCATCAACTGGCACCCGACTGACTTCTCGAGCCGCTTGGGCTGACAGATTGGAACACCGCCACGAGACACGTACCTTGAAAGGTTTAGGGCTTAGGGTGCAGGGTTTAGGTCAAGGTTAGCCGACGGCAGGTAGAGGTTGGTGGTTTGGGGTCTTAATGCCAAGTAGGCCCATTCACTCCTGAGAAAACGGTCGCCCAAAACGAAAATCAAAGCATACCAAGGACCCACGGGAGTACCCAGCCATGAAGACGCGTCAGTCAATGTTTATGCAGAACCCCCCACCCCCCCCCCCCCCCCCCCCCCCCCCCCCCCCCGAAATGCAGTTTTCATTTTTAATACCTCACAGTTCCCTGTTTTTTTGTTCGAGCGCCATAAAATTTAGAGTGCCTGCAAGAGGAACTAGAACGGGGGGCGGGGTGGGGTAGAGATAAACCCTAAACCCAAACCCCTAAACCCTAAACGAAGGCCTGGGATCGGCTCAGGGTTGAGGGCTTAGGCTTGCTGAATGTTGCTGAGGTGCGGGGGCAGATGAGGGTTTAGCTAGGGTTCGCTCAGTTTCATCTGGGGTCTCTCCAGGAGTTCATCGAGGGGTTGCGGGTGTTAGGGTTGGATGGCCTCAGCACTCCCAGGGTGACTCGAAAGGTTCCATGTACCTTTAGGGTTTAGGGTTTAGGGTTTAGGGTTTAGGGTTTAGGGTTTAGGGTTTAGGGTTCCTCATACAGAAGCTTCTTAGAGGGCCCCGGGTGCGATGAATAGGTACATGGACCCTTAGGCTCAGTAGATCCCCTTGCGACTCAGACGCAAGAGCCCCGCTTGTTGTAGCAAATCCACCCGGGAACCCTAAACCCTGGTGGCCGCGAACCTTCTTCCTTCTCTTCTAACACAAAACGCAGCTTAGTTGTTGGTTAGATGGCTTGTTCCGTTTGTGGCAAGGGCATTCATCAGAACTCGAGAAAGAAGCTGAACCTCTAACTGCCGAGCCACACTTCGTGCACGAAAACTGCAAGAAAGAAGCCGAAGACTCCTGGCAGGGGTTTAGGGCTTGGGGTTTGGGGTTCAGGGTATGAGCAAGTATGGTTTAGGGTCTAGGGTGGTGCTGAACAGCTTGTAGCAACGTGCCTGTATTGAATAATATTTGGCATGTCGCATGGAACGTAATTACGGGATTTGCTTGAGCCGTGATCATAAGTGGAAAGCAACATCCTGGCCCGCGCTTGAGCAACCCCAAACCTCAAACCCTACAAACCCCAATCATTGGGACGTTCCCCCTTCTACTCACATGCAGTCCTTAAACGGGATTAAAGTACCCCCTGCGAAAATCCCTATGAAGGAATGTTCGTGCAAGCAGGAACATCCCAACCTAATCAGCCTAGCTATTACATTTACTGTCTCCGGTTCTCTCAGCTGGCCAACACAGCATCACAAACACCCGAATCGACCAAAGTTCAGAGGCAGTAGACCCCTAGACGCATAACCTAGGAATAAAAGAAGGGGCCTTTCTGGTTTAGAAGGGCTTATACGAGAAACGAAGCTGAAGGGGAATAAGGGCCTACTCTGGGCCCTAGACCCTGAACCTAATCTGCACACCCAGAGGGTAGGACCAGGATGTGTAGGGGATAACATGGCGCCCCCCAGACCTCTAAGGGCATCCCAATTTGGAGAACTGGCCCACACGACCCCAAACCCCATGAATCCCTGAACCCAGGACCTGATAACTGCAAAGGGCAAGAGCGAGAACAAACGAGCTGGAAGGTCCTGCGTAGACCCACCACGGGAAGTGCACCACCCGGGTTCCGAAGAGCTCGCGGTCTATGAGCTCCCAAGAAGCCTTTTTTTTGGTGGGGGGGGGGGGTATAGGGCTAGGTCTGGGTTTGCCGCTTTTAGGGCCTTTGTGGGTTTTTGGCCTTAGGCTCATGGAACCACTCCAAGCTTCCCAGGGAACAGATTCTGCCCCCAGCATGCAATCTTAGAATCTTCGGGGTCCCGGAACCAGGAACCCAGGCTTCCACGTTGCAAAGCGCTTGGCCCCAAGGCGGGATTCGGATACTTCCGAAGAATTGGGTTGAGGGATTGATACCCCGCCTATGCACCCTAAAATACGATCCGTGCTCAAAACCCCAAACCCTCAAGGCCCAGCAATGCCATTGACCCATTTTGAGGGACAGGGTTTGCACAGGGTTTAGGGTTTAGGGCTTCAGGGTAAGGATACCCCAGCTGCATGAATGCACTGCAACGCCAAGGAGCTGATGAAAGCGGCTTCTCTGCGGCCACCTGCCCATAAATCCGAAACCAATAGGCCTCAACACATCGCAAGCCCTTGCCCGAGAATGTGAGGGAAAGGGGTGCCCAGACCCAACGCCCATTGTTCGCGTCAGGATGTGCATAGGGTGGGCAGGTATTCACCATGCTGGTTGGCCATGGCGATCTCATAGTTTATGGTTTGATGAGGGTGCGGGCAGCTTAGGGCTTGTCTCCAAAGGGTCCAGGCCTTCCATAACACAGCTAAGCCGACCTGGTTCATTGACCTCTGGCTCGCAATCCTCGAATCCTAAGCTGAGCTAACAACGCCAGAAACTCCCTCAAGCCCCCTAGGCCCGACAGGGTAACCCTTCTTGGGACCCAAAGCTTCGGTAGAGGAAATCCTGAGGCCCAAGCTTATACAAGTGTAAACCCTGAACCCTCCTAAACCCTATGAACCCTATGAACCCTAAACCCTAAACCCTACACCAAGGGAGGACCTGGACAGCGGAGGCGCCGCTGACGGCGAGCCTAGCTTCTTCCCTCTCTCGGACCTGGAGCTCACGGTTCTGAGGTCTCAGGAGGTTTAGGGCCTTTTAGTGTTTAGGGTTTCTACGGTTTAGGGTTTTTTAGGGTTTAGGGCTTCTAGGGTTTCTAGGGTTTAGGGCCTTTTAGGGGTTTAGGGTTTATAGGGTTTCTAGGGTTTAGGGTGTTTAGGGTTTTGGGTTTTGCTTGGGGGGTCACCTCGGGTCGACACCGGTCTACCTACCCTCTACCCACGTGCCATGTCATGGTGTTGTGGTCCCTTTAAGGGGATTTAAAACAGGCAGGCTCTGGTGACGGGGGGGTCAGGTTGCAGGAGGAGCTGGCCAAGACACATCCGAAGACAGAGCCTCTCAAACGCTCAAAAAAGGGAGTCTTCCTTAAACTCAAATAAGGATCCTGATCTGTCTTAAGGAACAATCCCTAATTCAGGGACATGGGGAAGTCTCTGCCCCTGAGCCCTTAAACACCCCCTAAACTTGTCTGCTCACGGTCTCGTTGAACCCTAAGCCCTAAACGCTGAAAACCCAAAGTACTGAACACTACAACCTAACCCCTAAGCCCGACAGTCTAAACCCCTCAACCTCAGAGGCCCTGAGCCCTGCCCCAAAAGGCCTAAAATTAAACCTTATAGGGTTCCATAGGTTTAGGGTAAGACCCTCCAACCCAATTCGCAATCCCCAAACTCTCAACCCTAAACCCTCAACCACCCTCAAACCCTAAAACCCTAAGCGGCCTCCCTAAACCCTCAACCAAAAACCCTCAACCCCTGTTGCCCTCAACCCGCAAACCCCTAAACCCTGAATCCCTGAAGCCTGAAACCCTCAACCCTAAACCCTCAACCCTCAATCCCTCACGCACTGAAACCCTCAAACCCTAAACCCTAAACCCTAAATCCCAGGGGTTCAAAGCTGCCTGGTACGTCTCCTGGAGGAAGCCCTGGCCCCACTGCGACAGCGACAGCTCGTCGGAGCCCTCGCGGTCACAGCTCAGGTCCTTCGAGCATGGATTCGGGGTTTAAGGGCTTTAAGGGTTTCAAGGGGGCTTAAGGGGTTTTAAGGGTCTTAAGGGCTTAGGGGTTTGAAGGGTTTTCAAGGGCTATTTAAGAGGGAAGGGTTCAGGGTTTAAGGGTTTAGAAAGGGTTTAAGTTTATGTAGGCTTTAGGGTTTAGGGTTCAAGCGTTCAAAGATGCATGCAGGGTTCAAGGGTTAAGGGTTTCAGGGTTACGTTCCTAGAGCGTGGGAATCGCTGCCCTGGAATGCTTTCCAGCGGGTTTAGGGTGTAGAGGGTCTACCTAGGGTCTATAGGGTTTATAGGGTCTACAGGTTGGGATGTTTCCCCTTACTAACAGTCCCTAATCTGCATGGGTTCTGGTATCCCAATTATAATCCCTGTTAAGGGCTGTTAGTAACCCTAAACCCTAAACCCTAAACCCTAAACCCTAAACCCTAGACCCTAAACCGGGGGAACATGCCAGTCTATGAGGGGGAGTCGAGCTCTGCCTGGAAAGACTCGATTCCTGAGCCCTGAGTCATAAACACCTGGGGACCCCCAAAACCTTTGAACTGAGACATGAAGCCTAAACCCTAAACCCTAAACCCTAAACCCTAAACCCTACCTTAAACTCTAAACCCTAAACCCTAAACCCTCAAGGCCGAAGCGGCATCTGTGGCCGCGCATTGGGGCTCTGCAAGGCATGGATAAAGTAGCAGGAAGGCCTCAATTGCGACGGTTTAGGGGTTTAGGGTTTAGGGGTTTAGGGTTTAGGGTTTCGGGTTTAGGGTTTAGGGTTTAGGGTTTAGGGTTTAGGGTTTAGGGATTAGGTTTAGGGTTCATCCCGAAACCCTGAACCCCATGCCCGACTCCCAGAGACTGTGACTTCCGAGCCCGATCAGCTCTTCAAACTAAGCCGAACCCTGAAGCTCGAGTTTGCTCTCCTTTTTTGGGGGATTAGGGTTTAGGGATTAGGGTTTAGGGTTTAGGGTTTAGGGTGGGGGGGGGGGGGGTTGGAGTTGTGTGGAGCTTTTTCTGTAGATTCCTTACCCTAAACCCTCAACCCTACCAACAACTCCTAAGGGCCAGGACTCAGTGCCAGCCCCTTACACGGGGTCTGGTGCCGGCAATGATGGGGTGTATGAGGTTTCGGGTTGTAGGCTTTATCTTGGACTTTAGGGCTGTGTAGGTTAGGATTTAGAGATGACTAGAGGGCCTCAGCGATTACAGCCAAGCGGCTGCGAAGCGCATCCTGCTAACCTGCCCAGCACATGCTTGCAAGCGGTCTTAGATTCCCAAATGTACCGTAACTCCTAAACCGGAAACCCCGAACCTGTCCCTGAACCGGTCTGGGCCAGTAGGACTGGCAAGGCGGGGTTTGCTTTTTCTGCAACTATACAATGCACATGTTGTTTCTATATACACATGCATCTTTGCACCGAAAAAGCCTCATCATTTAGACCCCCCGCATATGCAGTGGCAATGCGTAGATCCCAAAATGCCCCCCAGCCAAAGTCTGCACCTCAAATCCCCCAAAAGATCAACCCTGCAACCCGCCGCACTACGATTTTCTTGAGGAACCCCACAAACAATCCCTAAACAGGTAGTTGCAAATATGACATGTTTCGGGGTTCCTTCAGCTAGTCCTAGTGCATTCAACCTTCGAGAACCCTGTAGGGTTAAGTGTGTATATATATATATACATCCTTATAATTCTGTACAAATATATATATATATATATATAATGCCTTCTCCGGGTTCTACAATCTACAGATTTTCAACATTCATTACTGTGGCTTTACTGTTGCAAGACTTCCCTAGGCAGAAGGCTCGACCAGGGTGCAACTGCCACTCTTAGCCCGCGACGTCGTTTGCAACTCGGTTCAGTTACCTTGGCCAAACAGGGTTCAGGGCCTATAGGGCCTAACTACAATAACCTTCATACCCGCAAAAAAAGAAATGTACCTTATTCTCTCCTCTAGGTCCCCGGTAGCTTGTCGTTAAGCTTTCGGGAGGTGTGTGTAGCCACTGTGACCTGCGGCCGGGTTCAGAAAAGCCCGGAGGAGCAAAACGTAAGACTTGTGCAGGGCTGTATTATTGATGTCATTACTGACACTATTGAATATCATTTCAACTGTTTGCCTTTACTGAGTACTACTACTGTTCGAAATACGATAATGTATATTTCTCTTTTAAGATGGGCGATGGCTGCCGGGGCTTATGGAACCTGAAGCCACATTCCCGTACGAAAGGTATATTTGGGGCTACAGGTGGGGTTCAGCGCTCGCATCACATCAGCTATTTGACCTCAAGTCACCAGCACACGAGGAGCTTCAAATCCAAACGGCAACGATACTTACGAAACAGAAAACAGTTACGCAGGACTGCTTTACTGACCCAAAACCCTATACCCCCAAACCCCGTCTGCGATTGATTCAAGAATGAACTGCACGACCTTACTCCGCTGCCAGTGCACTGCTCGGTTGGGAGCGTCCAGTAACTGATGGGCTCATTGTTCGGTTGGTTGACTGTTGCAATGACTTGCTGGTCTTCTTGTCCGGTTGTCGAAAGCTTATCTGAGCTGATTGGTCGACTAACTGAACGTTCGTCCTGATGATTTCCTAAAATCGGGTGAAGGGAATATCATTAACATTCTATAAAATACAAAAACGATTAATGCCATTCACCTTCTTACAAAGTTATGCATATTCTGTAGGAGCTTGCGTCTTGTACCGAGGCTGAAAGTGCTTCGGGGTGTTTGGCTTGTCCCGGGTGTCCCGCGAATAAGTCCAGCAGAGGTGCACGGATGGACAGGGCAGTTCGGTTGTTGCCCTGAAATAAAGCTGCGGCGAGCCGGCGAGCAGGAGCTTGCGTCACATGCCTTCTGGAATGATGGTTCGCCCGGACATGTCCAACGTGCTCCCTTGCCCCTTCAATCGCCACGGCAAACCAACTGCCAAGCCAAAGCCTGAATCTTCCCGAAATCGGTCAAATTGCATCCGTAGCCACCACATGGCTCCCCAGTAAAGCGCAAAAAGAAAAGTATGAACAATTCCTAAACAATCCGCAGCCATCGCTTCAACCACAAGTTTGTCGCATAAGTCGAACCAAAACCGTGCACCGCAAAGTCCTTCGGACTTTTTGGCTCCCTGGACTACACGAGCCGGCGGGGAGTGCAGAAAATCGCTGCTGGCTTCGGGGCTGCCAGTAGAGTGCATAATGGGGCTGCGAGAGCAGCATTGTAACACGGGGAATGCATGCATTCATATGTATATATATATATACACATATGAACGTATATATGTATGCATACGATTCTGGAGGCAATCAGCCATGACTCTGGGTTCCTTCGGGGGGGGGGGGGGGGGGGGCAGGCACGGCTTACAGACCGTCGTACTTGGTCGCAGCAGCAGTTTTACAACCAGCTGAGGAGCTTTGGCCACGACTGCTCGGTCTACAGTTCAGGGGGATGGTTAGGAGTTGTTTAGGGACGAAAATACACTCAAGCTCCAGCATAAGAGTCAAAGCCCCTAAGCACATGGAGCGCCACGCGTCTTAAAAGTATCGCGAGGACCCTCACAACTGCGGCGGCATGTAGCTGGAGTAGGAGCCCGGTGCGAGAAGCCTGCAGGTTTCAGGTGCAAAGCTTAAAGGGTTTAGATGCTTTCGGATCCGGACTGTTCTGGAAAAGGCTTGAGAAAAGGGCTTTGAGGGCTCATGAAACTCCCTGAAAGCACTATAGCGCTTGACACCCCAAGACTTCAAGGCTTTGGGGCAACTAGCGTACAGACCCAAGCTCTAAGACCCCCTGCCAAGGCCACAATAAACGGTGCCGGAGGTTGGCTACAGGGATTACGAGCTTTAGGGATCTGGAGCTGCGTGATTTCAGTGGTCTGCAGATCCAAGCTGCCCGTCAAAGGACGTCGAAGAGCCCACCTCAGTACAGTATACACCCTTTCGAGCCGGGAATTGGGATATGAATGGGTGTGTGTGTGTGTGTGTATGTGTGTGTGTTTTGGGTTGACAATCGGGTTTAGGGGTCGTAGTATCAGCATGTAGGGCCTCAAATTAGCAGCCACCGTTCGAGCTGCCTCTATAGCATGCACGGCTTTTAGGGTTCAAGGGTTTATATAGTTCATAAGGCGTCTTTTCCTCGGATTTCGTGTCGAGGCAGCCCTCCAATTCTGTCTGGCCGCTGTTTGCTCTGACCTCGTGACCATCTCCTTCTCCACGATCTCTGCCATCTTCTGTCGCTGGTTTCCTGGGTTCAGGATCACAAGGATAGCCAGGGCCACGCACCCTCGTCTTCAGATGCCGCAGGTCCCCTGTTATCATCGGATGCATAAGCTGGAAGCCCCCTGACTTAGCTTGCCCCAGTAAAATCATGTTTGTTTGACAAGTTTGTTATAAGGAACTTAGCCCCGCAGAAAAAAGGGCGCCACTGGGCATCCTATACTACGTTCATCTACGTTCTTGTCGGGGTTAGGGGCTGAGATTCTCCTTGCACATGCAAACCCCGCACCGCAAAACCCTTCGTGCTTCTCAGCTTCTGCGCAGGATCATCGTGCGAACCTCGGCTAAACGCTGAAAGACCACAAAACAAAAAAACCCAAATTCCCAAGTGCGTGGACCCATTCCTCCGACGTGGACAGCCTACATCCCGAACCCGCCTTGCAAGTGCAAGCGGACGATTTCACAGGCATGTCTCCGCATTTTGCGAAATCAGCAAGTGTAGGAGGAGGATCTGGGGGCTTTGGGGGGGTGGTGCAGGGTTTAGGGGCTGGGAAGGTTTTGACAGACACGCTGACTGACTGACACACACACACACACAGACACACACACACACACACACACAGAGACACACACACACACACACAGAGACGCACACACACACACACAGAGAGACACACACACACACACAGAAACAAACACACACACACACACACACAGAGACAAACACACACACACACACAGAAACAAACACACACACACACAGAGACAAACACACACACACACAGAGACAAACACACACACACACACACACAGAGACAAACACACACACACACACACAGAGACACACACACACACAGAGACACACACACACACACACAGAGAGACAAACACACACACACACACACACACAGAGAGACAAACAAACACACACACACACACACACACACAGAGACAAACACACACACACACACACACACAGAGACAAACACACACACACACACACACACACACTGTAACACTCGGCTTCAGCGGGTGAGACTGCATGGATGGGTCTTCGCTGACCCCGGCCATCCAGTTGCCCCTGGGCCCCGTGCTTTTCTGCTTTGCAGGCTCTTGAAACGTGTGTTCTTCTCGAACCTCTTTGTGCTCAGAGCGTACACACACACACCAAGCCTCCAAACCCGAAACCACCATGTTCTGCCAACCAGTAGCTTCGTCCTGGTGTGACGCGCTGTAGCAGCAGAACGAGCAGCAGCAAACCCACAGCAGAAGCCATGCCACCTTAAACACCGTTTCATCATTCCAAGTGTTGGGCTCAGCAATGAAGTCTCATAGCCAAGGCAATACCCGCAAACAGCTGGTACCTTGCGGCACGTATGACGAAACAGCACCCCTAGCAGTTAAATGTCCTAGCTAAGAAGTTCATTGCGACAGATGATGATTTCATGCGCGGTAGAGCCACTAACCAGTGCAGGCAAAGCACAGACTGCATGGGGGCAGCCTCCATGTGTCCTCAGTCTGGGTTCGGGCACAATGCGAGCTCTAAATTCACACCCTAAACTGCTGCAGCTATACATTTCCTAAAACCCGAATGCTGCACCAAAAACGATCCGATGATGGCTCTCCCAGAAGCCAGGCCAACCCAAAACCCTACATCCTAAACTCTGAATACCCCCTCACCCCCCCCCCGCCCTGAACCAGAATCCCAAACCCCAACAAGAATCCTTGATACCCTTCAACCTTCTGAGCTCTGGGTGCAACTGCACCAAGCCGTGAATTGGGGATTAAGGGTTAGATTCCTCAGTGGCAGGGTATCATTTGGTGAAGGGAGTCTTACAGGGAGCCTCAGCCCGCAAAGGAAACAGGGCAAGAAGTGCTATTGAAGTTACCTACTACTGGGTTCTAGGCAGGGGCTTTAGATGGTTTTAGGGTTAGGGGCTTTAGTGGTCGAGGGGGGCTTCATCCTGGGATTTACGGCTTGGGGCAGAGGATGGCTTCAGGGCTCTTAGGGTCAAAAGGGTGTAGGCTGCTTGCGGACCAGCTGTCCATGAATCATTCCCCTCAGAGTAGTGTTGCTCCTGACGCACTGGGTGCTCGAAGTCTTGCCTAAATGATCCCAAGCAATAGCCGTGCCAAGGGAATTGCTGAGCCTTGCTTGACAGCCTGGCATCCCTGACGCTAGTTTATGATTTCGGGGGCAGAGGTTTAGTATTAGAGAAGGGCATATAGAGTTTGGGGCCATTTAGGGTTTGTTCAGCGTTCACGTCAGTAGTGCTGCACTATGATGCAGAACAAGCCAAGGCTACATTACGGGCTGCTGAAAAGGAGATGGGCCCTTTGCAATTTGCGGTGCCCAGAACTGTGATAAGGAATACAGGATTTAAGTTCCATTGGCCTGATCGTCCCAGAAGGGTCCCAGAATTTATATTCTGACAAACTCCCCAAGTTGGCCCAAGTACTGGTCCGACCCTGACCCAAGTTGTTGTGAACCCAGCGAGCTTTGAGCATCTACGTGTTGTTCTTGGGATTTCGGGATGCCTTTATAGTGTTTACGGCCTTATAGTCCCCTATTGAAGTCCCCTTTAGGTGGTGTTGTAGATGCTAAGCAGGATGTCCTGAACCAGACCCCTCTCCCCCCCACCCCAGCTCCTGTTCGACAGGACACCAGAAGTGAGGTTCTCCAGTTGAGTGTAGTTGGACGGCAACTCCACCAGTTTCGTATCGCCGGGTTGTTCGTCCTTGCAGGTGGTTTGGGATTGTTGCTTGGAGGAATGCAGAAATATGAGCCATAAACCCCACAAAAATCCATCGCACATTCCCGAAGACCCTACTCAAGGATCCCACTCCAGGATCCCCTTTCAAAACCAGCCTTTTAAAGGCACGATACCTGCAGTTGAAATGAAAAAAAGCATCCAAGGACATGTTCAAGGCTAAGACGGACCTTTATCGTTCCCCTCCCAACAATCCATTGTCCGTGGGGACATCACGGACACCTGCCAAACACCCACGATGCGTAACTTTTGTTTTTTTTCTCTGCTGGCCCCCAACTTAGATGGCTATCGAATCCGGAAGCTTCTGGGTGCCAGCTTATGAGCAAACCAGCTGGACAGGCTTGCGGGAGCATCTTGTTACTCTACCTAGGAGAGGCTTCTATAAGGAACCCAACCAGAAACTACAAGCACAAAACTATACTGCAATCTGTCGTGTATTTGCTTGCTTGTTGAGGGGGGGGGGGCCCACGTTGTTACTTGGGCCTCCTTCCGCTGGTCACCGTCTGCGGCTGCCAGCTGCCTCTTGACAGAGGAGGTGGGGTCTGGAGGGGGGGGCAGGGGGGAGGGGGCAAACCCTAAACTAAACCCTGAACCCTAGTATAAACCTTAACGCAAACTCTCAATTCCTCAACGCTTAAACCTTCAACTAAACCCTGTAAACCCTAAACCCTAAACCCCCAAACAAACTTGGGTATTGCGTTGCAATTATCCTGGGTTGAATCGAAGGGGCACGAAAGCTGGAACCGGTACACACACACACACACACTCACGCCGGTGTTTTCCATCTGCGCTTATCTGTATATGTAGGTACACTTTGCTTATCCACTGATTCTTGTGTAGATCCCCGCCCCAGGCCCTGCAGCTTCGATAACGTCAATTCCAGGGCGAATGACATGCCCCACTCAGGTTTCGGGGTGCAGGGTTTGGGGTTGTCAGGGTTTTCGGGGTTCGGGTGTAGGTCTCCAGCCCGTTGGGATCTCATCTTCTCTCTTTTGTGGGTGGCCATTTTATAGATCGCCTTTTTTCTCCTTGGATGCGCACCATCAATTGGACTTAACCCAGAGCACACTAAGCAGTCCTGAGCCCTGAACCCTCAACTGCTCTGCTACCAGGGCACGAGACATTTGCCGCAGCAGCATCGGCCGAGCCCTCATCCAGTGAGGCGTTGTCCGTCCCTTGGGTTGGAGCGCTTAGGGGTTATGGCTTCCCGGCTGGTATCCCTAAACCCTAAATTTGGGGTATTGGAGGTTTTAGACTCTTAGGTTTTGGGGGGTTTTGCGTTGTCTTTTAATTGCAGGCTTCGATGCCTAGGGTTTGCGGGATTGTGGCGTTTTATGGTGTTGGGGTTACTGTGGGGCTTGGGATTTCGGGGAACAGGGCTTGGGTATGTTTAGGGTATCGGGTTTGAGGGGGGGTCATTGACATTGTTACGTTTAGGCGTTTGAGGTTTGGGTGTCTGGGACTGTTCAGGGGTTTCTGATTTGTTCGGAATTCAGGTTTGGGTGTTTGGTTTTGGGATTTGGGGTATTAGGAGAATAGACCCTGAACCCTATTCATATTAGTCCGCGGAGCGGAGAGAATCCTAACAAGGGGGGGTGTGCGAGATCCAGTCGGGGCTTTGGGGCCTTCGGGGATCTTTCGGGGTGTAGGGCCCTACTAAAGGGTTTACATGTTTCGGGGTCGGATTCAAGACTTTGGTTCAAGACTTGGCCCTCTGAATCCGCCTGCAGCTGCACATGATGCCAGCGCCAGGAAAACCATACATCTCGCGTTCGGCCGCATTGCGGAAAAGGAAAAACTCACAATGCCTATCAAGCCTAGCTTGCCGACGATCACACCTTTGCTATTTGGAAGCTGGCCCTTCAGTCAGTCCCCCAACCTTAGCGCCTTTCAGCCCGGCCTCAAATGGAAACCGACTACCTCGTGATGCGGGCATGCTGAAGGTGGGCAGAGGTTAAACCTTACTCACAGATCATGTATCAAGTTCTGGCTGGACTTTGGTGTGGATTGGACCCTCTGGACGTAGCTCGTGAGCACAAGTAAACGGCTCAAAGCAAAGTTCATATGAAATCCCAGGCTGCACTTGAGCCCTGAAGTGCCCGCAATCATGCCCTCACAACAGAGTGGAGGTTTGCGCAAACCTTACATTGCCCTGCATAGCATGAAGCCGGTGATCAATGCATATGTGGCAGGTCACTCATCCTAGCTAGACCAGAGCTATGTGTGTGGCATGGCATGATGCATGCACGGGGCTGTTCTGAAAAACCGCGCGGAAAGAGAGTAGATGATTCATTTTGTCTCACCCTAAGATTCTAAGGCGTGAAAAATTGAACGCTCGACGGGCTCATGCCCAAGCGCCACTTCAGCGAAGAGCCCTCCATTGAAGAAAAGATGTTCCTGTACTCGACGACGCTCGATGGCCAAGTCCGCCCATACAACCTAGATCGCCCCCGCCCCAAAACATCAACCACGGCTAACCCCACGACACCCCACACTCAGATCCGGAACTCCCGGGCGCCTTTAGAGCACCGGCAGGGACGGCGGTAGACCTTGTGTGCGCTTGGTGGGTTTGGGGCTTGGGATAGTGCGTAATAGGCGGGCTGCTGGGCTTGCCGTGACGCGATCCAGAATCCACGACGGCGCAACCTTTTTCGGCGACAGATGCACGAGTCCCCTCGCATGAAGCCCTTCCTCGCATCAGCCCGTGAGCTACTTCCGAAGCTTTGGTGCGCGTATCAAGTTTGGGATGATGATGTGTGCACGCGGGCTGCAAGAAACCCCTGCCGTATGCTCTCAAGCCTCTTAGAAGCTGACCCCGGGCACACTGCACTTCTGCAGGAACTTTAAAGCTTGCCTAAGTTCCTACGCCGTTGCCTTCAGCATAGTAAAGGCTGCGTCGATCTTCAACCATTCTCGGTGGCGGAAGTCCTTCAGATGTGCGGGCGCCTTGTCTGGATGCTTCTCCAGCGCAAGGAGTCGGCGTGCCCTGTGGAGCTCTGACACAGAAAAGCCCTTCTCCAAACGCAGCAGAAGCCGAGCCTCCTCTAAATCAGATGTGGAGATGTGCTGCACGTCGGTCCCTTCAAGCTGCTCATGGTAAGGAACCATATGGCCTTGCAAATGTGCCGATGCAGACCGTGCGTGATTTACAAGCGGCGTGGCAACACAGCGTGCGTGAGCGGTCTGAGAAGCCTGAGAGGGCTGGGCAGTGTGCCGCTTAGCCGTGGGAGGATCTGCGGGAAGGGGCCTCTTGGAGGCTGCTCGATCGGCTGCTCGATCGGCTGGCTCCCTCTCCGCTGGAGCAGGAGTCGGAGGCTGCTCCAAGCCATGATGCGCTCGGTACTCGCGCGCAGTCGCCTCCTGCTGCTGCCTCTCCTGCCGCGCCCGCTCCCGCCGGTCCCACTCCGCTTTGATCTCCTTCAGGGCGCGAGCTCCGTTGAAACCGCGCTTGTCGACCTTCTTCAGGCAGTGTCTGAGGCTCTTCTTCCGATACTTCTGTTCAGTGACCACCTCAGGGGTGTAGCGGATGAGGGACCGCGCCAACACCTCACCCCCACAGGGGCCAATGAAAGCAAGAGCACAACGCGCAGCGAAAACATGCACAAGACAGATTACACACATGAATCGGCCTAATGAGGGCAAGACACCTTGCGGTACATCTCATCACCGTAGCTGTAGACGACCACGTAGCCTGATGGGACCACGCCACGCTTGGAGCCCCGCAAGGCGACATCGCGCACTTTGCCCGTGGCTCTCTTCACTTTCCCCGTGTTCTGGTGCTGCAAGATGCACTGGGAGAGGAGCTCGCACCAAGACTTTGGAATTTGACTTGTCTCGCCAGTTTTTTTGTAAAGTACGCGAACCCACTTTGGGCCGACTTTCAAGATCTTGGCTTTCTCTTTCTTCTGCGGCGCAGGGTCTTCCAGAGTGGGACGACGCTCCGCGTTCAACCAGACCCCAGCGGTGACTGTGTCGCCTTTCTGTATGCCCTCCCGCGTGAGACGCACTTCTGCACCCTGTCGAAGATGCTGTCATCCGGGGGCGCAAGTGGGTTCATGGGTGATTGGAGGTATTGCCGACTCTTCGTGCGCACCACAAGCCCTGGCCATGGTGGGAAGCCACGAAGGCGGTAGAGGACCAGGCGCTGCTGATGCTCCTTCTGGGCAGCGGACCACCACTGCATTGCGCCTAACTGCAAGTGTAGTCAATGTGCACGGAAGCCCCACTACAGTATAGGAGATGCATCTGAAAACATGACCACTGCTCTAACTGTCGCTAACTACTAACTCCATGACTTGTACTACTTGAACCGTCGCAATTTTTCGTGACACCGTGAAAACGGGGCACGGGCGAGTAGAGTGATGTTAAACCCGTTTTAGCATCGATACCCGCTGTTAATATCGTCTTCCAGGGATCCCAGCAGGGGCGGGGGGGGGGGGAGGAAGCCAAAAGATAAAACGCGTTTCAGAAGAAACTCTGGAAAGCTTAGACTCTCAAGCTCCGAGGCTTGGCCGATTCCAGCTTCAGATTCCATGGAGCCGGGTTTTACACAAGTTCCAGTCCAAATTTCATGCCGAAGCAAGCCGCCACACAATTTTCTACAGGAGTAGGCCACGAGCTGCTCTCATCCGCTATACTATTTTGTTTCGTTTCGGTTCCGGAGCCCCTCCGACCAGGGCTTGTGATCCTTCAAAAGGCCAGGAAACCTTTTCAACTCTCTCAAGCTTCAAGGCTTGACCAGATTCCCCTCAACCCTCGACCCCCCACCTGCCCTACCCCCCGTTTATGGAGGGTGCACAACAACCCCGAAATTGTTTGGGGGGGGGCTAGATGCAACATTACACACAAAGTTCGGAAGTTTGGGAGGGTCAATATGTCGCTGAACAAAACCCAAATTCACAGCCTCGACATGCCGGTGACACCTCAGCCCTGCGCATCCCTGCGTCACCTCGGCTCCAGACAAGCGGCTCGCCTGAAAAGAGGACTACCGATGCTTCGGGGCTTGCCGTGCTTGGGGAAGGGATGGGGTGGGGGTCAAGGATCCGGGGTGCGATTGGCTTCTGGCGCTGTTCAGACCTGTTGAGGCCCTGTGGCCGACGGCTCCTGGACTTCTGGTTTTAATGATGCTTAGGGATGCGTGTGCCGTGTTGCTGATGTAGCAGCAGTAGCAGTAGAAGTACCAGTAGCAGTAGTCGTAGTCGTGGTCCTCCTCCTCCTCCCCCTCCTCCTCCTCCTGCTCCTCGTCCTCCTCAACCATCATTATGCGTCAATTGCCAAGGACGGCTCAGCCTGAGTAGCCTGAGCTTCTCAGTATAACACAACTTCTAAACTTCCCCCCGGTTCAGGGTGGTATACTGCGCGTCACTCCTACGATCGAAGCGCTTTACGAGTGGATCTTAGAAACTTGTGCTGGGGGGCCGGCTCCACGCATTTTCTTCTCGCACGCGATCCGCCGAGAATGCCAGCAAGATGCATTTCTCTCGCACGGCAGTCGGCAACATGCAGGCCCATGGAAGGGCATCACACCAGAACGCACGGAGATGTGCGCCTGGTGAAGATGGCCGCGAAGTGCCCAAAAACACTCCTAACGACCTCCATGAGAGCTGAGCTGCCTCAGAACTCGTCTCCGTAGCCTTCTTCTTCGCCTTCCCCCTCGGCCTTGGCTGTGGCTAGCTGATGCAAAACAAACCCATAAACCCATCGCCCCGAGTTCACACTCAAAACACGTGGACAGCGACGCCGAATGTAGACGAAGCAGCAGTCTCAATGCCAACCTGTCGAAGTCAATTGTCCGGACTTGTTTGGTGGTATGCATAACGTGATCAGTGATATTTAATAAACTGACATGCCCATATAACACCATTATAAAATGATAATATAACAATAGAACAATCCAATAGAATAGAACATACGCAATAATAAAAATGAGAAGTACTTTAATGAAAAAATAAAGATCTAGTGAGTAATGGTGGTACAAAGACAAGTCAAAAGCATAAAAGCTCTGGCCTCCTCGTAGTCCTTCTCCAGGGCCGCCAAGTCTTCCCTGGCCTCCGAGAACTCGCCCTCCTCCATTCCTGTGTGAAAGGTGTGCTTTTGGGACTGCGAAGGAAAGACCCAGTAACCGTTTTATCACAGGGGTACCCTTTCTGTTGTTGCTTGGTGTGTGAGGGAACCTAGAACCAGAAAAGCGTGCACAAGTATACCGGGCCACCAAGAAGACCTCAATCTTGGAAGTAAGAAGGTTTCAGGGCATAGGGTAGGACTAGCAATCACCCCTAAACGACGGTACGCACCTCACAACAAAACGGGATCTAAGCCTCTAGGGGTCGGATTAGTGGCTTGAGGTTTCGAGTCTCATCCCACATGTAGCGCCCCACCTTCGCCCACGTAATGGTGAACGAAGGCACGCTTCCTGAGCTCTGAGGTTCTGGGGGGTTGGGAATCTACAATGCTGAAAATGGAAGCTTAAGAGTCTACAATGCTGAAACACAAGTTTTAACAAGACCAGCAGAGAAGGGGAGCTTAAGCTTCAGGGTCGGTGTGGGATCCCATGAGAGAGGCTGAGCCAACCTGCTGACGCTTCGAAATCGTCTCACCCCTGGAGATCCCCAGCCCTACACGCCCGAACCCTGGCCTGGCGCCTCCACATGTGAGCATCATCATAAGAGTATTCATAACAAACAGACAAACATAATAATAAGAATGACAGTAAATGTGTGTATATATGTGCATGTATATGACCATATATGCATGTGTATATATACTAACACATGTATGGGGAGTAGGTCTGTCTGGCTGGGCTGCGAGTACATGAGGTCAAACTTGTGGTCGATGCGGGAGAAGACTTCCTTGGCGTTGTTGCAAGCCGTTGCGGGCGGCGTGAAGAATCCTACAGCACCTGAGCATACAGCTGCACAACACCCTGAGGCTGCTTGAAGTGCAGACTCCCCAATAGCCTCAGAAAAATGAACCAAAAGCCTTCTTACAGCCTTCTTAGGCTTTTCAAAACAAAAAGGGGAAGTCGCAGGGCACTGCTGGGCATCCGAGGCTGACGGCCCTAAGCCGAAGCCTTGAAACAAGCTCCAACCGGTTCAGGTCTTGGATGCCTCTCAGAGTGCGCTGCAACCCTGACCTTAGCCAAGACCTTCCATTCGACAAACCATGCCCCGCGATGTTGATTCGGGTTTAGTGTACCGGGTGTTACCTTAAGGTATGTCCACTTTGTGACAGGACAGATATGCGAAATCTGGTTTTCGAATTTTTTCTAGTACACCCAGAAGGAAAGCCCATGACATGCGCTTCAGGAGCCCTATACACACCCACCCCAACCTCAATACGAATCCTACTCCATATTCACAGGCTATACCTTAAGTCTGAAATGCAAGCTCTGCTCCGCAATGGCCGTGGAGTTCGAGATCATGCAGCAGGCGCGCATCACCTTGGCCAAGTCTCCACCTCAGGGTTCGAAAGGGGCTTCTTTGTGTTGAGAGGCATTGGGGTTTACAAAGCCTCGACTCACGTGTTCCTCGAACCCACCTTTTATAGGCTTCACTTTCAATGGCCTCCTTTCATGAGAACCAACTCGGCCCTAGGGTTGAGCAAATGTGCGCACCTCAACTCTTGAGGATTTGGGGCTCGCAGCCTCGCGTCAAGGCCTAGGCCACCCTGGACCTGCATGGCCCTTGACTTCCGGCACGGGTTCGCGACATGAAGCATTTTGGCCTTTGGGCTGTAGGTACTTAGGACCTCAGTCTCACTATTGACGACAAGCGAAGCCACGCTACATCGAAATAATTTCCACAGGGCCTCTATTTCATTTCAACGAGAGCACAATACTGGAATTTCTTGCCGACCCGCCTTGACAACTTTGCTCAAGCTTGCCACTGTTGATTCTTGGTTTGCCCTGCAATTCTAAACCCTGAAGTCCCAATCACATAACCTTAAGCCCGAAACCAGAACGGCAACCTCATTGCCCAAACCAGTCAATCAATCGGGCTTTACTTGGCAGACTACGGTCGGGAATATGGGGGGATGGGTTGTTCCTTAGATCGGGTGTTTTGGGGTGTAGGGTATGTTGCTTAAACCGGGTGACCAAAAGGGCCCATGAGTTGTCTGCTTTGCATCACTGCAGCCCTGCAATAAAAAGCTCTGAGCAGACATCCCAAGCCCTAAGCCCTTAACCCTAAGCCCTAGGCCCTAAGCCCTATACACCCGAAGCCCTAAGCCCTAAACACTAAGAAAAAAACTGTCAAAAAAGCATCCAGAGCCCTGAGCCCTCAGCCCGAAAGCCTGGATTCTCTTGCTGGCTGAGCCTCTCGTACGGGGAAAAACGGCTAACCTTTGGGTTTAAAGGTTGGCAACCCAAGCACCCAAGTTCTTGGCGCCTCAACCCCAAAACCCTAAAACCTAAACTCTGCACCCTAAACTGCCCCTAAACGCTAAACCCTAAACCCCAAGCCCCAAACCCTTAACCCCCCCCAAGGAGAAGGCAAGCGCCGGCCTGGAACCACCGTCGGCGGCTGGTAGTTGATGCCGCACTTGAAGCCGGTGGGGCACCAGTCCTTGAAGGGTTTTTTGGGGTTTAGGGGTTTAGGGGTTTTAGGGGTTTACGGGCTTAAGGGTTTTTAGGGTTTTAGGGATAAGGGGTTTATAAGGGTTTAGGGTTTTAGCTAAGGGTTCGTTGAAGGGTTTTAAGGGCTTGAAGGGCTTCAAGGGCTTCGAGGGTGCCCTTGAAGGGGTTTTGGGGGGCTTTGAGGGGTGTGAGAGTTTTTTAGGGGTTTGAAGGGTTTTTAAGGGTTGGAGGGTTTTAGCATTCGTGTCTGTTTTTTTTTCTTTGGGGGGGGCTGGGGCCTTTAGGAAATCTAGGGTTTCGGGGGAGTTTTGGGCTCTGGTGTAGAAGGGTGATAGGAGCCTTAAAGAAATAATTCGAATAGGCTTTTGGGGTTATCATAGTATGATTACAAAGGGACCATAGCCGAATACTATTAGTATTCATTCCGACCCCTATGTTAGCCTTCAGGTCGATATCGCAAGATCCTACAGTCCTACGGTTGCCCCACGCGCTGGGTGCTTGCTTAGTACTCTGCAATAAGGGTTCATGCACTCCAAGCCCCAAGTCTGACTAAACCCCAACCCCTAAACCTCCCAGGCCAAAAGTCCACGAACTGGATGGTGCGCTTGGTCTTGATGGTGGCAACCGCGGCGTTCACGTCCTTCGGCACCACATCGCCACCTGGGTATATTCCCAAAACAGAGGGGGGTACCCCTTATCAGATTCCTGACTAAACTCCCTCAAACACTGCCCTGATTTCAGGTCACCCCTTGCCGCATCAACCTTTGCTGTATGTTTGACATGCTGAGGCCCCGGCGGTACATCATGCAGCAAGCCATGTACTTCCCATGTCGGGGATCACACCTGAGCGCAACAAAGCAGGTCTGCTCTTTTTTAAAATCACGTCAGCTTCACTCACAGAATCTCGTGACTGACTTCTGGTTAGCGGCTGAAAGCCTTACGCAGTACATTCCTCACCCCCCCCCCCCCCCCCCCCCCCCCCACCCCACCCCCCAGCCCTCACGAAAGCAGAGCATTAGGCTTCTACACTCAAGTTGGGGCGCTTCACCATCATGGAGGCCGGCTCGAAGACGGACATGGTGATCTCGGCCACGGAGAGCTGCTCATGGTAGGCCTTCTCGGCGGAGATGACCGGGGCGTAGGACGTCAACATGAAGTGGATGCGCGGGTAGGGCACCAGGTTCGTCTGGAACTCGGTGATGTCGACGTTCAAGGCCCCGTCGAAGCGCAGGCTGGCCGTCAGGGAGCTGATGATCTGGGCGATCAAGCGGTTCAAGTTGGTGTAGGTCGGGCGCTCGATGTCCAGGTTCCTGTGGCAAAGCCGGGGTTAGAAAAGGGCTTGCAGATGAGCCCAGGCAAAACGAAGAAACACACAATGCTGTCCAAATCAATGCCAAGTTTCCTACGGCAGATGTCATAGAGTGCTTCGTTGTCGTACATGATCGTCACATCTGTGTGCTCCAGCAGGGAGTGGACACACAGGACCTTGAAAGAGAACTAGTGGCGAGGTGCTCAAGTCACTCCAAAAGCATTAGCATGTGCCAGAGCAAACAAAAGCTCAGCAACCACTCAGAAAAGAATCCTGAACGGGGACATGGCGCAGTGTTGTACGGCTCGACGACTGCTGTTGCCACCTGTGGGCAGCACCAGACCGTGAAGGAAATCTTGCTCTTCTTCCCGTAGTCCACGGACAGGCGCCTCGCTGGGACCAAAGATCGGAACAACCGAGCTCCAAAAGGATTCTCAAAAATCTCAATCGAAACTGTAAACCCAGTTTCTAATGTCAAACCCTATCAAGTGCTAGGAGGCGCTCAAGCATGAGGCAGCCCAAGCCGGAGCCGGTACCTCCTCCGCAAGCCTTGGCTATTCTCGAAGCTTTCATTGTAAGTGCCAAAAGCACTACTGGCAGGTTCCCTATGGTACAGTAGCGACAGAGGAAGAACCAGTCATTTTATGTGGGAAACCCCTAACAAAGGGAAATAAGGGAACCATGGGGATTCCAGGAACAAGGACCCAGGATTCCAGGGCTCGTATAGGGTCGTGGAGTTGATTCAAGGGGTATTTTGCTGGAGTCATCGAAGATAAAACTCTCAAACGTGTACGAGAGGAGCCATCAACATCCGAATTCAACCCCAATAAAAAATCCCTTGTTTAAATCTTTGGAACGCCCAGAAGCATTGTAGACACAGAAGCCCTGCAAGCCAGTGCCTGGGCCAAGAGGTTGGTTGCGTTGGCTCTGTCTGAACGCAGGTGAATCTCACAGGTTGTCTCCAGTGTCCGGTCCTGTGCAGCCCCCCCAAATGCGAATTTCGTCAGCCAGGCACATGAAACCCCTGACGCTCCGGAACAAGCTATCGTTAGTTACCACAATTGTGCATGGGCCTAGACTGTCCTAGAGCAACCTCCCGAAATTCAGAGAACTTCCAAAGCTGCATCCACGATGCAATTGTCGGCCAACTTGCGGATCCTGTGTTTGAGAGACCGTCAGAGACCGTGGCTTACCAGGAGAGAAGGAGAGGGCCAGGCCTGCTTGTTAAGTTCCATGAAAGTCGGGGCATCTGGCTTTATGTGGGTCTTTCCGAAGCACAGGAGAGTTGCTACAAGGATCTAGAGGCGAGGAAGCAAGAGAGCAGTTCAAGTGTTGGCATATTTGACTATGTTGCGATTTAATGTGAGCTGCTTCCTTGCTTCTACAACGTGTGCAGTTGGCGATATCGCTTTATCCTAGAAAGGGGGATGCGCAAGGCTAGA